TAATATTATTGTTGTTTTTGTGGTTGTTTTATTTATAAACAATTTTCATAAATTGTTAGCCGAATCAATAAAATATAATAATTTTTCTAACCATACTTCCGTCAAATGAATAACGGGTCGTAACCAATTTTAATCAAGAACAATAAAATCATTTATATTTCAATGTTTCTCTGAATTACTTCATCAGTTTATAGGTTTGCTAAAGGATTAATGATATAGATAAAGTTACAAAAATATAATAAGTTATTTACACTCCATATTCCAAAGGTTCAGAAATACACTAAGTAAACACATTTTTTGGCTGCCAAAGGTTATCTCGAGGGAAATAAATAAAAAATAATATAGAACACACCGGTATATCAATCATATGAGAAGTTTCAAGTTTGCAAAAAATACACAGAAAGGTTTTCTATCTAATTTATTTTTATGGATGAGAGAATAAAAATCATAAATAATATATACTTGCCGATAATAATTGTAGTACAGTTTCTATAGCAAATGTTTAAATTTCAACTATATGCCGAAGTAACTGGCCTAACACAAAAGTAAAGGATCAGAGAAGGATAGAAGTACAATAGTAAAAGGTCTGTAATTGCAGAATAATTTTAAGTGTACATACTGAAAGAAACATCAAAGAAAATTTAATCCGCTAGATTGTACGGATATTGTGATGTAGTGAACAAATTAATCTAGAAACAAAACAAAAGCTTACCTTGTGACAAATAGCTTTATTAGACGTCAGAATCAGTAAAAGGCAGGTTTAATCGAAATAAAAATACATATCATGAATGTGTTGCTTGTGTGAGTCCATTTCAAATAGGTAAAGAAATAATAAATAAGACTTTGACACAAAAAATTGATTGTGAGTAAGTCTTATTTATTATTTCTTTACCTATTTAAAAATACATATATTTTAACAAATAGATAACAAAAATAAAATGCACAGCTATACAAATATACAATAAATATAAAAAACAGATCCTTGTAAATAAAATCGACGAGGCTGCAGTCCGACCACGATGCCGGTGAAAAATGAATATTAGCGCACTCAACTGGGTAAGGCAAAGTGCGATCTTTGATCAATACCCAATAACCGTGGGAACTAATGATCACTGTTCATTCAGCCTAGAAATGACTTTCCATGATAAATTCTCCGGATCAAACTCAGTTCTCTCTTGTGGAGTGCGAGCTTCCAGAGAGAAGACCAGCTATTGGAAAGCCATGCGAAGCGATTCAGCTAAGAAGTTAAACAAGAACCTAGAATAATTATAAAACTGTGAGAAATCACAGTATTTAATCACAATCTCTTTAGTAGTGGTACTTTTTAAAATTTCGACTATAGCTCTGAGGATGGCTTTGAAGGCTGGATGATGATATAAAATGTTATGAAAACAATATAACATTAAAAACAAATTAAAAATAAAAGTTCTCATTGCTGACAATGCTCATTTCTTTTTCATTTAAAGATAACATAAGATATATTCATAATAATATTCATATAACATAAGGGGTTATTTTTTATCAAATAGTCAGGTAAACTCCTGTTATAAAAGTTATACATAAACAACGAATAACTTTTATTCAAAAATGCTTTAAAGGCAGGTTTACACGTATCCAGTAACTGGCAAGACAGTAACTATCGCACTGGCTCGACAGCGTTGGCGTAGTAGTGGCATCATGTAAACACTTTTTGCGCCAGTCAAGCGCTGTCTTCCAGCGCTGTCTTGAATAGAGTGCTGGTCTATTTTTCATGACAGTGGCTCTCGTCCGCGTTCCCTCTAACCTCGCGCGAGCAGTTGGCGATGGCGTACCAGTAAAGAGTACAACATACAAAGGACTGACTTCGCAAATAGAAACTGGCGTGCCAATGAGACTGACACCAGCTACTGGATACGTGTGAACGAGCCTTAAGTTCTCAAAAACTGTTTATGTAGTATGTGGAGAGACTGTTTCTGCATTATTTACAATCCTCAAAGTAAAATAGAAGTCATAGATCGATTTCTTAAGATAATTTGAGCAATTATTGGATGAAAGTATATAATATACTATGTGGACTCAAACTCTTTGCTAGTCTAGGAAATTTTACAGGACCGACTAAACAACACAAGCCAATGAATCTTTTAAATATATCAACTGACGTGTTTTCCACCGATTTGTTTCTTTTACAATGGTTTAAAAAATATCACACAAAAAATATTCTAGTGACTTTTCATCAACATTTTCTATTAAATTTGTAGCTATAGATGGGTTTGCTAGAAATGGAATGTCTGTCGGATTATCGTCTGTACTTACCTGATCTTCGTTTTCTCGGATCGCCACTACAATATGTTGTACTTAGTTTGTTTCTTGTATCATGCAAATTTTCAATTCTTCCTTCTTCTTCCTTCTTGAATGTAGGTTTGAAAGTAATTTTTTCTTCAATATTAGCCTCCTAAATTGTTTTAAATTATCGCATCATCTTTTCTTGGTCTGCCAATACTTCTTCGTCCATTTGGTGATATCTCGTGCTATTCGTACTATTCTATCCTCTGCCATTTTACGAATGTTTTCATTACACTCCTGTTTCCGTTTCGTCACCCATCCATTTATGTTGTCTATATTGCATGCTCTTACTTATGTTTTCACTTCTCTCTCTATCCAACAGACTTTTCCCTAATATTCGTCGAAGTATTTTCATCTCTGTTGTTTCTAGTATCATCTCGTTTTAGATGTGCAAAGTCTTGTCTCCGCTGTATATGTTAATATAGGTCTAATTGATGCTTTATAGATTCTTGTTTTTGTGTCTTGTCTTAGGTGTTTATTCTTCCAGATTGTGTCATTAAGAGATCTCCCAGATATTTAAACCTTCTTCCTGCTTTATTATTTTGCCATCAATTTCGATTTTACATCGTAGTGGGTATTTTGATGTGGTCATACATTTGGTTTTTTCTGCTGATATTATCATTGTATTTATTGGTTTTTGTATTGAAGATGTGTGTTAATCTTTGGAGCTTGTCTTCTGTCTCGGCGATTAATGCGACGTCGTCTGCATAACACAATATTTGGATTTCTTGGTTTCTCAGTCTGCAACCTTGACCTTTACGTACTGCTTGTATTATTTCGTTCAATTGTATGACTCCGCTTTGTACTGGTGTACACTATGTTAGTTTGAAATTTATCTTTAACATCAGAGATGTTGATATAATATTGACTAGTATGTTTCTTTTATACAGTAGGTGTAAGACGTCTTCGACTTGGAACCGATCGAAAGCCTTTGTCAATTCTATAAAACATAGATATGCTGGTTTATTTTACTCGATGGCCTTTTCTGTGTTTTGTCTTAGTACAAATACGGCGTTTACGCAGGATCTTCTGGATCTAAATCCTTGTTATTCATCTGATAAAGTTGTTCGTTTATTGATTTTGTTGGTTAGGGCTTTTGTGGTAAGCTTAAGTGCGGTGTTCAGTAGTTTTATACCTTTATAATTTTTAAGGTCTTATTTATCCCCTTTCTTAAACATTGGTATCATTATGCTGTTTCTCCATGCGTCTGGTATCTTGCAGTGCAATATTAGTTTTTGTATAAGTTTTGTCATCTCTAGGGTTATACTTTCTCCTCCGTGTTTTCAAGCTCGTTGGTTACTCCGTCTGGTTCTGGTGACTTTCTATTTTTGAGTGAATTTATGGCTATGTCTACTTCCTGAAAACTGATTTATATTCCGTCTCTTAATTTATGTACGTTATTGTGTTGATACATTTTCAGTTAAGTGTGCTAATTAGTTAGATCTCAAAGGAGCTTGTTTAATTCTAATACTTTGCATTTTTCTTAATTTTTATGGTATCTATCTATAAATACAAACATATAACAAGGTAAATAATATTAAATGAAATGATGAATAAAAAGAACAACAAGAACAGAAAGAACATATGTCTCCGTATGTTGCTCCATTTGTTTGGGGTAATCGCGGGGTGGTTAATCAGTAGTCAAGAGTAAATATGTTTCAAAGCCAAGATAATCTTTTATTATTAATTCCCTCTCTTTCTTTCCCCAATGCATTTTACAAGGTAAAATTAAAGGAAAAAGGGTGCCCGGACGAAGAAGAATATTCTGGCTTGCTAACCTGAGAGCATGGTATAGAAAGACCTCAACACAGCTATTCCGTATAGCAACCAACAAGTCATCATAGCCAGAATGATCACCAACGTTCGGAACGGACAAGCACCCTAAGAAGATCTTTCTTTAACAATGTTCCCTTCAATTATTAATTAGACTGACAAATACGTGTTACTACTACATGTATGACCCAACTATACCACCACTACTATTTTCAATCTGTTCAAAAATATTTGTTTTCTATTCAATTTTTAGCAAGCGTCTAACTACTCATATTTCAATACACCTAAATTTCTTATTATAAATTTTAAATTTTTTCAATATAAAAATATAGAGATAATACAACATTAAACACAATATTAAAATACATCAGAATATTAAACACCTCGTTAAGTTTTTTTTTAACTAGGATCCCTGTGATTTTGAAGTAATGTAAGCTTATAACTACTTCAAAATTTTGTCTAATTTAATATAAGCAGTTCATTTGCATCCCATCCATTGTTTAGCAAATATCCTGAGTGTTACAATCAATGTACACTTTGTTTAGTTTGATTGTGAATGATTATGTATATGTACTAGCAATCCGTTTTTTAATTGCCTATTGTGTATTTTAAATCTATATTTGGTACTAACTGAATTTGTTAATCTTTTATATTGTGTATAAAGGTCTGTTCGATAGTACTGATAGTAGATAAATCGTGTGAGCTGTTATATTTTTGTCTAGGTACTATAAAATCCCCTAAAAAAATCTTCTTAAACTGAATAAATGTGAAAGAGACACGGAAACAAAACAAAGCCTGTTTTATAAAACATTATTGAAGGATTCTTGTAGTATAAAAAACAAGCCGTAACTGTAATCTATACATTTTTTAATAAATATTGTTCTTACCGATTATTTTTGTTACAGTTATCTTAAAGACTGAAACATCGCCATGCTTGCCAGAAACAGAATCGCTTTTTTAATACAAAACTCGCAGAACGGAATTATCGCACTTCTTCCAAACTCTTTAGGAAATAAGAGAACCTACAGTGTCCAATTGAATAATCCCAGAAAGAGAAACGTAGTCCGAAGTAATGAAAGACTTGGGCAGTTTGTGAGAAACCTTGGAAGTGGAATTGTCAAGTCTCCCCTAGGAGACAGTGAACCGATACCAAATTCAAATTTAGTAGAGTATGTATTTGGAAAAAGTGATGAATGGGGCGACGAAATAGCTGCAGTAAGTATTTGTAAAACTCATTTACTTTTATTAGAGTAGAGATCCAAGACCCGTTTTTATTACGATACGATTTATAGAGGGTGACTTTATAGATTCTTCTTTATCTTCTTGCATAAAAAGATCCAAATACTCCGTAAAAATCATGCCAAAAGGTCAATCTACCCAGACAAGTCAACACGCCATGTAGTTCATCCCATTCGATCGCAAAATGAATTTTGAGTGGAAAAGTTATAGTTAAGCAGTAAATAATAATAGTTAAGTTGTCAACGCTAAACATAACCTACAGCAACAAACAGCAAGTCCAACAACTGGGGTACTTCTTCAACAAATTCTTCTTCTTCTTCTTCTTTTTATGTAGACATGACTCTGTCTGTTTTTCAATGCGCCTCCAGTCATTCCATCGTTTTCGTGATCTTCCTATTGGGGAACCGTCCCTTGCCGTCTTTACTACTCTGTTTCTTGTCATTCGGCTTATGTGATAGTTCCATTCTACTCTTTTATTTCTTAGCCAGTTCTTGATGTTCTTCACCTTACATCTACGTCGTATATCTGTACTTCTAGCTCTGTCCCATATTGTCTTGCCATCAATTTGTCCAAGTGTTTTCATCTCTGCTGTTTCTAACATCCTTTTTGCCTTCTCTGTTCCAGGTTTTGTTTCTGCCACGCATGTCATTATTGGTCTGATAACTGTTTTGTAAATTCTGCCTTTCATTTATTTCCCGATATTTTTATTTCTCCATATTGTTTCATTCAGGCAGCCTGCGGCTCTGTTTGATCTATTCACTTGATCTTCCACTTCAATTTCGAGCTATCCGTAGCTAGATAATGTGACCGTCCAGTTCCAATTTACATCTTAGTAAATTTGCTGTAGTAACCATGCATTTTGTCTTTTTTAGGGAAATTAACATGTTACATTTTCTGCCGGTTATATTAAATTGGTGCAGCATACGTTGTAAATTATCTTCACTTTGAGAGAGTAGCATTGCGTCGTCTGCATAGCAGATTATTTTTAAGATGTTTTTCTCCCATTTGGTATCCTTTTTTAGTTCTTAATTTTTTTATTATTTCGTCCATAATCAGTTTGAGCTATTGCTCAGGGGAACTCAGGACTCAGGGAATCTCTCTGTCTTATTCCATTGCCAGCAGGGTCGGTTAGTTCTTCTCCCACTTTTACTTTTATTGTGTTGTTGTGGATAGATATTTTCGATCGTTTTGATTATTTCTAGAGGTATCTCTATTATTCCTCTTATGTTCTTATTATTTCTCTTGCGTACAATAAGTGGATAACGTTTTTTAATTTGACACGGTCAGATGGCTTCTTAAGGTCCACGAAGCATAGATATGCCGGTTTGTTATATTCTAATGATTAGGGATGGCGGTTTTTGACAAAACACCGGTTTTCGGTTATACAGGTTTTTTGCATACGGTATAACCTGGCGGTTATAACCGGCCAGAAAAAACCGATTTTTCCAAAAACATTTACAATGCACTTTAGTTTGCGATACTTCATTCGACTCGATAATACTCATAAATATTATAATACCTTTTCAATGAAATATAATAAAACTTAATTGTTTCTGGCTGATGTGAGTTTGCACTTTCAGTTTACTTCTGTATTTATAAAATGAAATAAAATTTAAATTACTGTTTTGGTTGGAATAATTATTTGAGAATAATCATCATGATCGGGATCCAACATAATACCTCACCTAATCTTAATAACGATACAAACCTAATTACCGGTTTTTACTTTAAAAGTAAAAACCGGTTTTAACCGGGACAAAAAAACAACCGACAAAACCGGTTATTGCGAAGTAAAAAAACCGGTTTTCGGTTCAAACCAGTAGGTTTTTCCCATCCCTACTGATGATTTCATTTGCACTTGCCTCATTGTAAATAGCCCTTATAATAAAACCTTGTTGTTCTTCTGATAGTATTACAATTTCATTCAGTTTATTTGTTATCACTTTGGTTGTTAATTTTAGTGTTGTGTTTAATAAATTAATAATTCCTCTGTAATTTTCAGAGACCGATTTGTCTTCCTTTTTGAAGAGATGTATTAGGATGCTTGATCTCCATTCTTGGAGAATTCTGTTTTGTTCTATTATTTTTTGGATTAGCTCTAGGATTAGATTTAGGATTCCTTTACCTCTTTCTCCTCAATATTTATTTTTTCGTTTGTCATCACCTCTGGTGTTGATGGTTCATTATCGTCACCTTTAGCAAATAGACTTCGAAAGCAGTCCACCCATGTTTCCTTCTAAATGTGTTTCATTTTTATTAGTTCGTTCATCTCTTTTCTTTGTCCTCTGATCATTCTTCATATTTCCTTTTGTGTTCCGTAAAAGTCGTGTTCCATCTGTTTTGAGAAGCTCTGCTAGTGTTCCTTTTTTGTTTGTCTAACTAAAGTATTTTCATTTCTGATTCGTTTATAGTAGTTATATGCCTGTTGTGTTTGTTGTGTTTTGTATTATAAAAAGGCTTTCTTCTTTTCTTTACATTTTGTCTTCACTTCCTCTCTAAACCATGGTGTTTTCTTTTTTGATATGTTAGTATTCGGTACTTTCCTCTCTCCAAGTGATTCTGTTGCTGCGGTAATTAAGATATTTTTGAGTTTTTCCCAGCTTTCCTCGATGTTATCATTTTCTAATATTTCATTCCCAGCGATCTTTCTTTCAGGATAATTCTTATTTTACTTAATACTATGTCAAAAAAAGTGTTGTTTATTCTAAGTTCGTTATTCGTACATAAGTTTATCATCAGTTCTCCATTTTTCGTCAACAAATTCTGTATAGACTAAATGAAATGGATGATAAGATATTTAACCTTGAAAAAAGGCCGCAAAAAACAATACAAAAATAAAAATAACTTCGTATTCTGCAAGGGAATCAATGGGCACCTGTAACTAACACAATACATACAATTTTTGTAAAATAAACAATTTACTCGAAACCAAAGAGTACTTGTGACTAGGATAGTGTTGAAATTACCAAGTAGTCAATTTATCATAGAAACAAATTACTCATTATTGAGTTAAAGAAAATCTCTTTGCATAGCCAAAGTATGCCTAGTCATTAATTGCTAAATTAAAATTCTATAAATATTTTCTCATTTTAGACATGTGCGGTATCAGGCAGAAACTATACCTTCAGTATGCTGAGGTTTCTCGTCAACAGATTTGCTCAAGCAGCTCTATCTCATTGCGCAATGAAACCAAGAGAGGTAGTTGGACTTTTATTACCGAATATACCTGAATTTGTAATAGTATGTCATGGAGCCATGGAGGCCGGACTGGTAGTGACTTTCGTTAATCCTTTGTACACACCTGGTAAGTCAAAATTTTTTTTGAGAAAAGCATTTTATGTAACTCCAATATACTTCATCTAATTTACTTACCGTTGCACGTCATTATCATTGACAGAGATCGAAGTTGACATAGTTGCCAAAGTATAAAAAAATCTTGAATCCATCTTAAATCAAATAGGTCATATAATTATTGCAAAAGTGGATTATACAACAAAACAGATTAATATTACACACACTAATTATAATATTACATAATAGTAATTAATAATACACACTAATTTTGTTCTAAAGAGAACAGATTTTATTAAATGGGTAAAACTATAAACCAAGAGGTATTCACTTTAAAATTCAAAATAATAAATTACAAAAAGTGTCAACACCGCAACTGTCAAATAAGTGTTACCAATTTATGCCAAAATATCACCTTCGTTCGATTACAGTTACAGTGTATTCCGAACAAATGTTCTTCATAAAAACGCTTTATTGTGTATTTTTTTAAAAGTTAACATTAATAGAAATCTTTAAATATTATTTCTATACGTATATAATAAAATATGTCTAGTGGCTGTAATGGCAGTGTACTCAGCAAAGTGATTCTAAAAAAGAACACACTTACCGCCTAAATATTTCGTGTTGGTATCATGTGACCTCACGAGCTATGAGGTGGATGACGTGCAACGGTAAGTAAATTAGATGAAGTATAGCAGACTATTGATACTTTATTCGCCAAGAGCACAACATCAACTATTATGTTTCGATCTAGAGCATAAAGGACCAGGAATGCTATTTATTAGCTGAAGTGTCTCTTCATGTGAGTTTTACAACCAGGCTTTGACATACAAATTTGATAAGGACTTTATTATGCTTCATTTTGTTGTCACACCATTCAGTAGAATGCGTGAACTTGGCATTTGATTTTTATACTTAAAAATAAACAATACTCTTTTTGGTTTTATATACGTTTTATTTTATTTTTTAGATGAAATAAAAAGGCAGTTTCAAAACGCTGGCGTTAAAATGATTATCACCGTACCATTATTATTAGAAGTAGCGACAACGATAGCTCCTTCATTAACAGGTTATAGAACTACAGTTTGTATTGGGGGAGATGACGATGTAACAAAGAATGTAAATGGATTAGAAAGTTTACTTAAAGGTGATTTTTTATTTAATATTTAGTTATCATAGGATGTATGTAATGTTTATTGCTTTTATAAGTACTCAGTAGTTACCTATAATATTTAGTATTTAGTAGTACTGGATAAAGTATCAATAAACTTAACATTAATCATCCGTCCAATGGTGATCAATGGTTAAACATTTGTATAGCCATATTTTAGAGGGAACAAATATAAAATTTAGAGTTATTGATACTCACTGAGTATATATAGTTATTTATGTCAGAGATTTTCAGTATAAACGTAAATATCAGTATAATAATATAAAAAATAACATTATAAGGTAAAAATATATATTTTATATACTTACACACAAACTAAAAAATAATGAACTTGACTGCACATAGCTTTAAAGTAATCCGAACAGCAAGTCTTTATATGGTACATACAGAGCCAGTTTTAAAAAAAATTGTTTTGCATCGTTTGCAATATTTATAATTTCGTCTCTTTCCAGTAAAAGATCAGATCTATCTTCTTTCTACCAAGAAATTTTATAGCTAGACTACGCACCTCTCTTCTTCTGCTTTATATGCCTTATCCCGTCTCCCTCACTCTTGCAATAATTCTGGCGATTTTTTCTCGGTCATACGTAAGGTTAAAAAGTTGATCGACACTGTTGATATCTATCCTGTCGTGACTGTTCTTCAGCCGTGATGCCTGTTTTCTACCCACTTATCTTCATTATTTTATCTTGTACTTTATTATTAGTTGTAATATACGATACTGGTTATATTAAGGAATGTGATCTAGAGAGAAAATTTTTCGACATTTTATGATTGTTAAAAGTTTTCGAACAGTATTAGGGAATCTGGCCAATTTATAGTTTGCATTACGGCCTCTGGACCTTAAGAATCCAGATTGCAGTACCGTGTAATTGCATTAACCATATGTAACATTTTATTAACCTCTTGATAAAGGGAATTTCATTTTTGGGATCCATTTAATGTTTTTTGAAATTTTTCTCATAAAGTTAACTTCGACAGCCATAATATTGTGTTTTATAACTTAACTCACAAAATACGTTTTCACTGTTTTATTTTTGGCATCATAATCAAGTCTAACCAATATGAAATGTTTGATTTGAATCCTTGAAACTATGACTGGGTCAACTGTTAAATTGGTAAAATCTTCTTCGTCATCATCTGAATTTTCAAGGCATATTGAACTATCTGAATCGTGAACTGAAAATTTTGAAGGAGAAGAGTCATCAGATTCTATCATTGTTTCCTCTTTGGAATCACTAACCTTTGACAATATATTTATCTTAACAGTTTCAATCGCCGTCTTCTTTATTTTAATTTTTTGTAGCTCGTCTTTCTCTGGTGTATCTGTAGCGATTATTGTCTTTCCCTTTCTTCTTGTTTTGCGTATTGCTGGTATGTTGGCTTTCTTTGGATATCCTCGTATTTCCACAGGACTCACAAAAAGTTAAGGTGTGTTTGATAAAATGCTTTAATACTTCTATATGTATGCTCATATAGGCGGCTTTCATAGCCAGTCCTAAGGTGTCCTGCACTACCACAGGCGTTTACGATGCAGCAAGTTGTATCTCGTTCGCCACTTTGAATTGACGAAACTTGCTCAACTCCCTTTTGGGCTAGAACCTTACCTAAACTGTTTGCGACTGTCAAAGTCCCCCTCCTTCCGGCCCGAGGAGATAAGAATACGGCCGGGGCCAGAAGACCCTGCCTGTCTTAAGAGGCGACTAATGGGCGGATATGAGAGGTGGAGGGCCGTCTATTATGGTCTTATGTGACACTTATCCTCTCCAACCATGAGCAGTTGAATAGGAACTGTTTTATACAACTGCCTGACAAAATTTGCAATCCACACTTTCTGTCAGTCCGATTTTTTCTCCATAATGTTTGTAGCCCCTCTTTTAGTAGATTAAAAATAAATGGATGGCCCCATTTAATGGTCGATATAACTCATTATATATATTTAATCTAGTAATAAGACAATATTGTGCATTAAATTTATTTCCACATTAGTTTGAAATATAATTATCTAGTAAAAATATTGATTTCAGCTGGACACGAAAGCGAATTGCCAGGAATAAACCCTAGAGAGTTGGCGCTACTTCCATATTCCAGCGGGACCACAGGATTGCCTAAAGGTGTAATGTTGTCCCATTATAATTTAGTGGCCAATTTAGTACAGGGAGACAGGGATGATTTGATAGCGAGAAAAACAAAAGGTTAGTATTTCACCTATCGCTCTGGTAGTTATTAACTTTTGTTAAACACAGTTTAAATAATTTTTTTACATGTAAAAAAGCCACAGTTGACACCACAGCGACCTCTTTCATTTTAATTTGGGCCATGGGCGTATCTAAAGAGATTTTTAAGGGAGCAACGTGGTAACTGTTACAAATCTTGTAAACGAATTTAATTAGAAATACTCAAATGTAATGTAAAATCATAAACGTATCAAAATTAAAGAATTTCAATACTTACTTATGCCTTAAAATCAGATAAGAAATATACAAGATTATGCACATCAAGATTCTGAGAAAAACCCGATGAAGACGAAACAATCCAGATTCAGAATTTCATGTAATAATGTGATTTAAGAATACACGAATGGTTTCCTTCCAATCACCGTTGTTAGTATCCCGTAATAAAAGCAACATAAAAAGAACAATTATCATGCAGAACTTCCTTTACTTATCTATCTAATATTAATTAGAAGGAAATAAAGTTTATTCTTTCCTTTCATAAGAGAAACGATCCAATCATAAACTTTTGATTATTTTCAGCTGGAGAACGCCACAAGGTCCTTTCTGTACTACCCTTCTTCCACATCTTCGGTTTTAACGGAATTTTAAACATAGTTCTTAGAACCGGTAATCACATGATTACAATCCCGAGGTTTACTCCGGAAGACTATGCTAAAGCATTGGAAAATTACCGTCCATCATTTCTTTTCGTTGTTCCTTCGTTACTTCAGTTCCTGGCATCGCATCCTGCAATCACCAAAGAACATTTAGCCAGCGTGGAAGGCATTCAGTCTGGGGCAGCGCCGTTAACGGAAGGACTTTTGCAGAAATTCAAAGCCAAACTTGATAATCCAAATGTAATGATTAAACAAGGTAACCGATGTTAAACTAGAATTAGAAAAAAATCCATCATTGATGATATTAATTGTTTAGGATATGGAATGACTGAAAGTTCGCCGGTGACCTTTATCATGCCGAAAATGACACCACCATCAAAAATTGGCACCATAGGGGTATTGTATCCCAGTACTGAAGCCAAAGTTGTATGTTTAGTGACGGGGAAAACGTTAGGCACCCATGAATCTGGAGAACTGTTAGTCAGAGGGCCACAGGTTTGTATTGTTGATTGTGGATAAGTGTTTTTTCTAATATAATTTTAATTTTAGATTATGATGGGTTATTTGAATAACGAGGCTGCTACCGCTGAAACTATTGATAAGGAAGGATGGCTGCATACAGGAGATGTAGTTTACTATGACGAAGATGGGTATTTCTATATTGTAGACAGGTGTAAAGAGCTTATAAAAGTCAAAGGAAATCAAGTAAGTTAACAATAGGAATATTTACCCTGGGTTAATATTTTTGCTATAGAACCATCTCTCGTATATCACATGCCAGCAAAATAATGCATAACATTCAATAAGAGACTGACAACTTTCCTGCAAAGAGAAATACCCCAAGAGCAAATTTACCAAAGGTAGAGGTACTCTAGGACATAAGACAAATAATAGAAAAATCTAGAGAATTCAATATCCTACTATACATTTGTTTTATAGATTATCCCAAAGAGTTCGACTGGGTCAAATGGCAACACTTATGGCAGATGCCAAAAGAAGTAGGCATACCACAATACTTAATTTCGCTTATAACAATTTCGCAGAACAAGGTATCAGACATGGATGTGTACAAAGAGCATCTCAATAAATGGTCGAAAAATAAACAAACTACATTTTCAGACGACTCAGCCCTTCTTGCAAATAGTCAAGAAGAGTTAATTGGTATCATACGAATGGTGTACAACGAAAGACAGTTTGGGCTGAAGTTAAACGTATCAAAGAGAAACATCATGATAGTGCATAGACCATACAGCAATCATCACAAAGAACAAATAATTCAATTCTAAATGAGCTAAAAGTCAGCAAACGGCTATCCAGCAAAGTCCATCTCCAACAATTAAAATACTTTGGACATGTTATGAGATCCGACACAAAAAATATGTAAAGACTTATTATCCAACGAAAGGTAGAAGGCCGAAGATCATGAGGAAGATCCCCAACAAAATGGATCGATCAAATTACAGGAATATACAAAAGACCTATGAAGGAGTTAAAATAAATGACCAGGGACAGAGATCTTTGGAGACGGACAATACACGATATCACGATGACCAACACACTCCCTCCCGGGGTGCCAGGAATAAGAAATAAAGAGAGGAATGTTTTTGCTAGGTCAGATTTGATACATTGAGAAAATACATTCTAAGCAAGTTTTAAAACATAAGAACCCTGAATAACTTTGCCAGAGATTGCGTAACCAACCCAAGGAAAGGCAGTATCAGGACTAACAAGGAAGGGAGAAGTGGTCAACCGAAATAGAAAGGCACCATACATGAAACACCGACGCTGCTATGAAATTCGACACTGCTACGAAACGAACATTAGCAAACAACGAAAGCCACGGACAAAGGATATGCTATTGAGAACATGTAGAGGAAGTGGTCCGAATATGAGCCCCCCATTTGTTTTTTTTGTATAAATTTTTGAAAGTTACGAATAAATATCCAGTAAATTACACACTACAAGCTTAAAGGTTTACCTTATGGTATATTAAAAAGGCATTATCAAAAAAATTAAATTTAGGTGGAATTTGTGTCAACACTTAAATTATGTACAGATCTACTTTTGGATTAGACTGCGTGGAATATGGGCCCCCTAGTAAAATAATTGATAGGTATCTAACAATTTGAAAAAACATATATTTTTCAAATAAAAAAAACTGAAAATGAAAATGAAAATACATTTCAACTTAAAAACCACATATTACACGCAAAAGTCACAAATATATGCATCTTTTTCGGCACCTGAACATTGTTCGTGAGCCCATTGATTGCACATGAAGCATTGAATCCATAACTCTCCTCTCTGGTCATCGGAAAAGCGACCATCACAAAATAGGCATACTGCATCACAGCCGTCAGGAACAGATTTGCCAATTTCGTCGATATCCATATCTTCATCGTCTGGGACAAACTCGTGACTTTCATCCTCAGAGTCGCTGACTTTATTGTCTTTTGCTTGCTGTCTTTTTTTGTTAGTTGTCTTCTTTGCTTTTGATTTTGAAAAGACTTGTCGTTTGGTGCTTGCTTTCTTAGGCGTGTTGGTGCAGGATTTCTCTAACTCATCCTTGTAGGGGGAAGAGGTGATCACTTGCGATTTAGTTGATTTTCTTCCCCGAGTGGTATTTTTCTTTGTGACGGAAGGTACAGGTGAAATGTCAAATGGTGAGACCAATTTAACGGAATTTTCCATTCCTGGAACAGATGGTCTAGAGAAATTGGAATTTGACGGCGAAGATGTTGCCTGTGATTGTAATTTAGCTGTATCTTCCCAAAAAGAACATCCTGGCTGAGGTTCTGGGGTACCATGCTGGGGTTCTGTTGTGACAGGCCGCGCTTGAGGCGAGGCTTGAGACAAAATGTTGCAGTTTTTCTCAGCCTGAATTCGTTCAGATATAAAATCTGCTTCAGAAAAAATGTGACGGTTGAACGGATATATTCCCGTCGCCCTAAAACCACTAGCAGCTATTTCGGCACACTGTGATTTTAAAAAGGCTTTACCTAAAAGTTCTGCCAAGTCAAACTGTGTGAGGGCTCGTTGGTTAACACGAAGCCAATTTCTAATTTCCTCACTGTAATAAGCCTTGAAACTTCCCATGAATGTTTTATCAAGGGGTTGTAATTTATGAGTTGAGTGAGGCGGCAAAGAGATAATGGAAATATGATTTTCACGAGCTAGTCGAATAACTTCTAAGTTTCGTGTGTGGCTATAATGGCCATCTAACACTAGCAGAACTGGACATTCTTTTGTTGGTTTAACAAAATTTATGAAATGCCTCATCCAATCGGAAAACAAATTCTGTTGCACCCACCCACTTGGATGTACTGCGTAGATTGAACCTGGAGGAGCCCCTCGCATCAGCTGTTCGTTGCGATTTTTTCTCGGGAAAATTAACATGGGCGGTACAAATTGACCTCCAGCGCTCATTGCAGCTATAAACGTAACTAGTGAACCCCGTTCGGCTGAGGTAATTGAAGCAATTTGCCGTTTTCCTTTTCTTCCCACCACTGATGCCACCTTACTTTGAACAACTGTAAGCCCAGTCTCATCTACATTGTAAATTTGGTGAGGCGAAAATTTATTTTTTGAGTATTCACTCTGCAAATTGTCAAAAAATTGCTCCACATTTTCCTTATTGAAGCCTAATGCTCTAGCGAAGGAAGTTCCTGTTGGTCTTCGAATAGAAAGTACATTTTTGTGACGTAGTAAAAATGCATCCAACCAGCTTCTCCCCGCCACACCATTTTTAAATGGATGAGCTATTCCATTACGAACAGCTAAGACATATGCCATTTTTCTAATGTCCTTTCTTGTGAGACCATAGTAAGTAGCTTCCATGGACAAAACATATTGGACAAGTTCTTCCTCCAGTTCTTTTCCTAATGTTGTCTTTCTTCCTAGTTGAGTTTTAACTACGTCACTAATATTTAAATTACCTTCCTTTTGTTTTTTTAACAGTCTTTGAAGTGTAGATCGTGGCACGCTGAACTGTTTGCTTGCAGTTTTAAGACCCATTATTTTGTTATTAACACTGTCCATAGCCTTAACCATATCTTCACGTCTCCATGTTTGTCTTAAGTTCTTTGAAAAAAACTTCGGTTTGCTTCGTGGCATAATGAACTGCAAAAAAAACACTTTATTAAGACTTGGTCCGAATATGAGCTCTGTCCCATAATAGGACCACGGTAGGGGCCCATATTAACAACATTCCACCTGATTATTTAAAAGCATTCAATTTCTTCTCAATTCATTATTAGGTTAGTTTTTATGATGGAATATCAAATACTGATCACTTTTCTAACATACTAACACATCAACTCTCCAGTTTCAAACATAAACGTTGATAAATAGCACAAAAACACTTACCGTAAAATATTTGTTGAACTACACAAATAAACTTATGTCACCTGTTAGTACAGAGATATACACGAGACTGCGTGCATAAACAGAAAAATGTTTGGGGGTCTAGTAGAAGTATTTTAGTACGAAATTCATAGATGTCGCGACGTGCTCTAGTTGAAATATATTGGGGGCCCATAATAAGTGCAGGGCTCATATTCGGACCACTTCCTCTAATGTATTAAGTTGGTACCGCCCTGATAAAACAACCAGATGAACTGAGATATAATGTGACCACGGACTCAGAAACTAAGATGGACGGATATTGAACGATATACAAAGTCACTAGAGGTCGGCATGAAAACCAATTAACGAAAGATCCTGATTCGCAATGGGGTTACGCATTTGATGCTCTGGAATGATTTGTGGTTGTTGTGTTAAACCACGTACGTAGATTTTTCAACCAGGAAATCCTCCTTCCTGGTTCTCGTTTTCCTTCTACTTTTCTACTTACATATCTTTCGCTGTTCCTCATGATGTGAACGAAGTATTCCATTTTGGCTGTTTTTATTGTGCTCTTTTCCTTTTTGCATTCTTAATAAAACGTCCTGGTTAGTAACGTGATCGGTGTAGGATATCTTTAGGATTCGACGATAAAGCCATGAAGATGCAGAAGTCGATGAAGGCGCATCAGTGGATGATAAAGAGGAATTCTATGACTCTCTAAATCAATTGTACACAGAAGTTCTTAATCACAACATCATGACATTTAAATGTAAAAGTAGGCAACGAAGCGTACGTCATATCTGTAGCAGGAACACATAGCCTACATGTCTACCATAGCCTACCAGTGACAGTGGAACACGTTTGATCGATTTTGCGACTACTAGACTATTTAAAATCATAAGCATGCACTTTGCTAAGAAAAATATCCATAAAGTAACGTGCAAATCAAACGATAGAAAACAAATAATCAAATAGATCATTTATTGATTGACGGAAGGATACTAGCAGATGGCGACACAGAAAATGGAATGTTGTAAAACTGGATGAAGATGAAAAAGGAATACAATACTAACTAGAAATAAAAAATAAACAAGATATAGATCAGAAATGGGATCCCATACAGAGGCAGCAAATATATGGATTGGAAGACGAAAACAAAGAAAAAAAGTGATTCGATCGAGAGAGAATGTGAAAGGAAACAAACAACCGTACATAATAGAGAGAGGGGGAGAGACAGCTAGAAGAACACTAAGATATTAGCAACAACAAATTGAAAAGGTTGAAAGAGCATAGACACAATCAAAATAAAATAGTCTACAGATAATTAAGACAACACAAGGCAGGCTCGTGTCTAAGGACAC